TCCTCAAACTATCTATTCAAATTGGTGTTGGTATTTTATATAAACGCGTTGTATTATTTGGAATTCAGTGGAGATACACTGATTATGATCAGCGTTTTCATCTTCGTTCAAGGCACTTCATATTGTGTCTTCTCGAAATACCGTACTACCCTTTTGGCTTTCTAGATACAACCTTCTATATGACTATAGATATTTTGTCACAGATGAAAAAAGAGAGTTAAAGAGACAGGGATGTTATTATACATAGGACTGCCAAGAATATATTAGATTGAAAATGTGAACAACGAAGAGGTTTTAAGAAAAATACTGAACAAGATGACGTAGTCCCTTAACATTTTCGGGACGCATAATGAGGAAGGAAGGCTAAGAGAATTGAACAAGCATAGGACATAATGACGGTAAAAGAATCAATGGGAGACATCGAGTAACCTACTTCTCGTGTGTAGTGATGTTTGCAGAGCGGGAATATGGTGGCATGCAGTGCCGGATTTACCTATTGGCTTAGCGAACAGAAGCCTAGGGCCTCGAAACCTAGGTAGCCTACAGTCAAGGTGTATAATATTTTGACACTCTCATAGGTCTTTCTTACACATACTTTCATAACGCACTGGAGTCTCCAAAGAACCCGTCAGTCATTTTAAATACTCTTCATCATCCGCGGGTTTACTCAAATTGTTTTCCTTTACTGATAACAATGGGATTTGGGAGGGGCCTCATTAATGGAATAGACTAGGGCCTCTCTTTATCCAAATCTGTTCTTGGGGACATAGTAATGGCTAACACCTTCCTTAAAGCTACAAGTGACAGGAATTTCTGTTTGAATTTCTGTAATGAGGAGATATTATTTAAATATTTACACACGGGCTATTGTCCTCACGTTTGTAGTTGTTATTTGGAACGGAATACGGAGTAGAGTATTCCTGTTCCGCTGTGCAGGTCCAGGGATATCTTGTCTAGTTCTTTTTTTCCACTGAATCCAAGTGCACACTGACCGGCACAGGGATTGAACTCGCAATTAAAATGTCATCAATTTCACGAAACAAAGCGTAAAGCCAATAAGCTACTGTTTCAATTTGGAACTCTTCCGGATTCTGGCTTTTGGAATTCAGAGTTTTTCCCTCTCCTAGACTGGTTGATATCTATTTAATCCATATTTGAGGGGAGAGAGGGATTCATACTATTGCTACAGTTTTTTGGATACATGTTTGTACTAGTGAGCTAGCCAAAATGAGCTGACTCATTTTATTGTCCACCAAGAGAAGGGTTAACCAATCAGAAAGCTCAAAAATATTCAATCCGACGTGTATAAAGGCAGCCATTTTGTTTTTTATGATATCGAAGACTTAAAGAATTAACAACCGCTACTTTTTCCGAATCTTCACTGGCAACCTCTGTTATTGAAGACATTACGGACTTCCCTGCATTCCATATTCAGAGACTACGGCAAACATGGTGAACAACTATTACTAGTGGTATTGTTAGGAACTTGAATGTGACAAACTCGAATTCGATCTCGAGTCTAACAAGTGCCCGACCTGCACTTCATTAAGTCAATAACCATTAATTATTATAGCATAAAGTGAGACTGATTATGTAGTTATACTGCAAATGAAATTTCCAGCAGAAAATTTACTTTTATCTTTACCGGAATAGTTGGTTTCTCGCTCGACTACGTCCCAGGCGTAATAATCAAGGGGTTTACAGTCAGGGGAGATATGTGGTACTAGCAGCATGGTCCGGCGTTGCCAGGGCTTGATTCAAAAATCGTACGACTCAGATAGCAATCGCTATCACTTGACTTAAAATATTTTTGCCCTTCCTTGCCTTTAAAGGAGTGCCCTCTGCCGTGCTGATGTTGCTACATGCCTTACTTCTTGCCTATCTCACACTGCAATTTTTTTCTAAGCTCTATACTAAACATTAAATCTGTTACGAAAAAAGAACTAAGCAAAATGAACACAAAACGATCAGCTTTAAAAAAGGACTCGTAACTGGAAAAACCGAATGAAAAAAGAATGTTAACAACAAATACTTTTTCACACCCAACCCAGTTCTGCAGAATCAGAATCAACGTTGAGTTTAAGCAAGCGAATGAGCCAATTGGAGTAAAGTGCCATGCAGATTTAAATTTTTCCCATTTGTTACGAATGCAGCTATCAATTTTTTTTTTGCATGCTAGCATGCTAGTTAACATTTGTATCAGTCAGCTGTTGGCTCTCACGCTGGCCAATAGAATCTTCGTGCCTATTCGTGGCAGCCAGCTGTAGGCTCTCACTCTGGCCAGTAGAAAATGGCCGCAAACTACATGAAAACTGTCGGAGAAGCATGAAAAAATTGATTATTTCCACTATCGATGGGAGTTGGGAAATTAAAGATCGATCTTGGCCTTCTCACTAACTTGGAGCATGTGCATGTAAATTTTGGTGCAAATCCGTCGAAAATTGCGGACGTTCATTCGTTGCACATACACACACACAGACACGCACAGACGCACACACATCCTGCCTTTTATAGATAGAGTTAGTATATACCGTGTGTAACAGCAAAATTGTCCAAATCTTGTAAAAGCAAAATTGTCCATTTATTAGATTAAGCTTTGAACCGCTGTATCTTAGAAATGATTAAAGATATTTTACTGGAATATTTCGTTATTTTTATAACATCATGGTATGATCTTTTTTAGCGAATGTTTGCAATACCTAATTTTGACCTTTACTCTTGTGTTCAAATATGGTGTCTTTTTATTATTTGTTAAAATTCTTTACTAGTCTACAAGTTTTGAATAGGAATGATCCTTACTAAGGGCTACAGGCTTTATTTGCTCGAAGATATTTCCAATCATTGATTTGAGAAAACATTTGTATATAGCAAATACCTTAACATCTTTGAACGGGTCGGACGCCATTCATGACATCCATATAAGATTCTACATTTGACGAGGCTATTTATGGTATGATCCGAGTTTCTATGTTGATTTTCTGAATTGGTAGAGCCTTGCCACTAGCGGAATTTATTCTACGCTCAATTTTCTTACCTCCTACACTAAATTTTTTATGAGTGACCCACAAAGAAAGGTATTTGAAGGGTTTAACTTTTATCAATTTCATATGGTTAATTTTGTGATGGCCCCAGAATATGTGTCGTCACAGCTTTCATTCCAATTCTAGTTCATAGTGTCTATTTTGGAAAGGTTTATCATTATTTGCAATATTTATATCTGACTATATCTCTGAGATGAGGTATTATGATTGCTTATATTATTTAACTTATTCGGACTATTATCCTCATCTTTATGGCCATATTAACGACGTTTCGGCCTCTATATCTCTGAGATGAGGTATGATTACTTACATTATTTTCATTATTTTGATTTTTATCCTCATCTTCATTGCTATATTCACAACGTTTCGGCTACTATATCTCTGAGATGAGGTATTATGATTATTTACATTATTTACCTTATTCGGACTATTATCCTCATCTTTATGGCCATATTAACAACGTTTCGGCCTCTATATCTCTGAGATGAGGTATTACGATTATTTACATCATTTACCTTATCCGGACTGTTATCCTCATCACCATTGTCATATTCATAACGTTTAGATTTTTATATCTCTGAGATGGGGTATTATGATTACTTACATTATTTTCATCATTTTGATTTTTATCCTCATCTTCATTGCTACATTCACAACGTTTCGGCGTCTGTATCTCTGTATTATGATTACTTGCATTATTTACATTATTCGGACTGTTATCCACATCTTCATTGCCATATTCATAACATTTTGGCAGTTGTACGCCCTGGTCTTCTTGAGATGATTGGAATTTCAAACCGATCCTTTTATTTCGTCCACCGGGGTAGATTAGTCTAGTTCCACGTGGCATGCCTCTTCCGGATGTTTCATTTATTTACCTTTAACTCAACTCTCCAAGTTTTTGGTTCACCACTGCTATGGCCTGGTATTGAACTCACTACTCTTTGGGTCTAATCCCATGGTCTAGTGGATAAATATGTTGGTTAGATCCAGTGAGTAGACCTAAAGATTTGTGAGTTCAGTACCAGGTTACAGCACCGCTGAACCAAATCTCAGAGAGTTGACTTAAAAGGGAAATAACTGAGACATCCGGAAGAGGCATGACACGTGGAACTAGAACAATCTACCTCGTTCGGTTCGAAATTCCAATCACCTGGAGGAGGCCGGGACTTAAAAAGGCCGAAACCTTCTGAACATGGCAATAAAGATGAGGATAAGAGTCTGAATAATGTAAATAATGCAAGTTACTGTTTTTATATTCGGACTAATGTAATCATCTTTGTTTCTGTTATCACAACGTTTCAGTTGTTGTGCCCTGCGGCCTTCCTCAGGGGTAGATTAATCTGGGTAAGCTACAAGTAATTCTGGATTAAAACCTTTATTTAATCTACTGCCCATGTCTAGGGATATCTCGTCTAGTTCTTACTTATAGTACTTCTCAGTTATTCCTCGGCTGTTTCCACTGACTACAAGAACACACTGCCCGACTCAGGGATTGAACTTACAACCAAAATATAAGTAAATTCACGAGACCACGATTTAATGCACTAGCCAATTGTTCCGAAGAAAGGGTTTACCTTGAATTTTATTTCTTGGTATGTTTGGGAGAGAAGTTTTTTTCTTCTTTTTCGTTCAAGGTCATCCAAATCCTAATTGTGAATACCTATGACGTCGGTATCATCAGTACATTGCCCTCAGGTGGGAAAAAAATGAACGCTTTTTTTTCGTTTTTTAGATTCGTTTGGTATGTGGTATGGAATATTTAAATGCCCATTCTTTTCAAATCTGTGCTTGTACACGCGCAGTGTATATTCAGGCAGAATAAATAGCTTGGGGTTCCCGTTTTCTCATTGTACTCCTAATGGGGTCAGAATTGATTCTGTGTTGAGGTCTTTACCAAATATATAAGACTTTGTGAACCAATATTCTTCCCCTATCAAAGGATAATATTCAGTGGAATCAAAGGATGATAATGTCGCCGATGTGTAAAGACAATAGAGAAGTGTCTTCCAAATGGATCCACCTACGCGATTCACATTCCTCGATTTGGAATTCTTTTAGAAGTTGAAGATTCTCTTCTTTATGATGTCGACAAGAATCGTTCTCAAAGACGACAGAATTTCACAAAATGAGAAAATAGGATTTTTTTTTATTTTTACGGTTTACCAAATCCCTTTTAGGTTATGTAAAACCCATACATGTTTGGTTCGTAAGAATTTCTTTTTTTTAGTGAGTAAAATATCGCATGAAAAATGTTGGCAATAAAAAAGATTTTTACACATGTAAATCCCACTATGGTAAGCCATAGCGAGAGCGAAGGCTAGAAAAAAAGAAAGACTACTGGAAATTTACCATGACTCACTCATATTCGGAAAGTGACTTTTGAGGCATTTTAATAATAATTAGCTATTCCATTTTGAAGCGGACTTTTTTGGAGGGTGTGGGTGGGATGTTGGACAAAAACTCATTTAATTTTCCTTTCTCAATGAAAATAAACCTGATCCTCAAGATGTGACAGCCGATGGTTTAGACAAACAATGTTGTAGAAATTATACAGCTCGTTTACCAGATATGAAGCGACCGATATTACGGAAATGATAAGTTTTAGGGTACCATGGAATGAAATCAATCCTGAAAAGTGAATGCTACCATATGAAGAAGAAAAGAACCCATAATATATGTGATTCTATTGGTTGAAAGTCTAAGCAATGTCATGAATTGTGACAGACAAAAGACTGATCATTTACAACAGCAAAAAAATAATGTTTATTTACTTATATATATATATATATATATATATATATATATATGTATAAATCCGTGGTAAGTAATCCAAGTGAATACTAGTAATATAAAATATTAAAGCTGATCCACAGAAGAGAGTTCTATATTTTCATTATAGAGCATAGATGAATTATAAGATAAAATTCAATACGCCATATGATATATGGCCATTTCGCCTAGAACGGACTTTTCAACTCCAAGAAGTTAGATAATGTTTTTTTTTATCTTTGTGTATTGAATTTTATCAACTTGTAATTCATATATATATATATATATATATATATATATATATATATATATATATATATATAGGATGTCCTAAAGTTCGTGTGCACTTTAAAAATTTATAACTTTATTTGTATCTGCGATAGAAATAATTTGTAAAAAAGGATTAGAAAGAAGTAAAACTATATTTTTAAGGTTTTATTGAAATTTTATTTAAGTTTCCTCCATCATTAGCAATACAAAAGGTAATACGATTTTTGTAGTTCACGGAAAACATTTGCCAACTGATTTACAGTAATGCCTGAAATCACATTAGTTATTTTAGCTATACTTAAAACTAGGTAAATTAAACTTTCTAACATTTTTATAGATTATTTCTATAGCAAATCCAAATAAAGTTATAAATTTTTTAAAGTGCACACAAACTTTATGGACATCCTTTATATATTCAGATAGATAGATAGATAGATAGATAGATAGAGAGAGCGAGAAAGAGAGAGATGGTAATTTGTCTAGAACAGGAATGAGAAGAGAATGGTGAAGAATAAAAGATGAAAATGAAAATTTTAGCAATAACAAGTTTGTTTTATAGAAGACAACAAAATGAAAGGAAGAAAAATGAAAAAAAATAAAGAATGAAAGCTGAAATTATAAAAAAAAGAAAGAAAGATAAAAAAGAAAGAAAAAGGGTAAAAGAAAGAAAAAGAGTAAAAGAAAAAAGAAAGAAAGGAAAAAGAAAAGAATTAAGGATAAACGAGGAATAACGGCGGAAAAAAGTAGTAAGAAAGAAAGAATACTGAATATATTAGTTATAAATTGGGCAGACATTTCTTATACAAGTCAATTCTGGCAAAAAAAAAAAAAAAAAAGCGAAGAAAGAAAAACGGAAAGAAAGAAAGCTGAAAGAAAGAAAGGTAAACAAAGCAAAAAATATAAAAGAAATAAAGGAAGGAGAAAGAAACAAATAAAAATGGATGAGGAGAAAGAAAAGAAAAAAGTAAGAAAAAAGAAAGAAAAAAAGAAAATTGAAATTTTTAGTTATTTTTTATACTCGTCAGTTCTACAGAAATCGCCGTAAAAAAAGAAAGAAAGATGGGAAAAATTAAGAAAGAAAGAAAGCATAAAGAAAGTAAGAAATAAAAAAAAAGAAAGAACGAAATACGAAAAAGAAAGAAGCAACAAAGAAATAAAGAAAAAAGAAAAAAATAATAACAAAAGAAATAAAATAACAAATAAGTTCTGGCAATTTTTAAATGGAAATAGAAATATTAACGCCAAAACCCACCCGACCCCATCAACTAATACACACATGTTCAGATCGTGCACGCAAAAATCAGTCGAGAACGCAATGCAGGAAATGAACTTGGACGCAGGAAATTGTGCGCATGCGTATAAAGGAAAGCATTTGAAAGGGACAAAAGTAGACAAATACATAGATGAAGGAACAAGAAGCAAAGAAAAAAGAAGCGAAATAAAAAACAAAGAGACGAGTGTGAATAGCGATTAAGAGACATACATTGGTGACAAGTATATTTCCAGACATAGCTACCAATACAAGAATTGAACCCCATCATTGAAATGAATTTTTTTCAGAACAATAGGAACACACCGACGGATATAAATAGCTTCAAGATATTGCGTTTTGTTTGCGAGCACACGCGTGTCTTAATACATGAAGACTTTTGAAAGTGTTGCTTCGTTTCGATGTCTCTCGTCACCATCGCCGCATCAACGGACGCACCGGCATAGGTTTATGCGAATTTTGCTTCAGCATTTTTCGTTCAGCTTTCTATTTCTTTCTTTTTCTTTTTTTTTTGAAACATCTTTTCTGTATAAAAATTCAATATCAAAAAGTAAAAAGAAAACAAAAAGAAAAGACACTTCTCAGCGGTATTTACATGAGCACATGGTTAAAAACGCCGCGTTACTCAACTAAACCACGCACTGTGAAAAGCTCCATTTGCGAGCAAACTAAATGTGGTCAGTCATATCACACAAGAAGTATTACGCGATCTCAGCGGGCAATGAACTTCAAACACGTTTTAACTATTGTATTCAAGTTGCCGATGCACATGTTAAAGGTTTCCATTCTTATAAATAAATAGGTGGTATATTGAATGAATTTACTTTGATCTGTACTTTATTCGATATTACTTCCATGTGAAGTTGTGGCAGATCTGAGATTTGCTAGAACTTTATCGAAATTCTTCAGATTATACAGGGTCTAAGGGAAGTAACTTCTGAAAATAGAAAAAAATAAATCGAGGTATCAAGCAATATCAAGTATTGAACAAAGGAATCAATATATATATATATAGTTGTATTGATGTGAGTTTGTGACCCTGTGACGCTTTTGCGAGCGTCAGACAAATAAGTACCGTTCATATATAGTATATAAATCATATATATATCTAATAAATTGCATACATATATATATATATACATTTAATAAATATATATATATATATATATATATATATATTTATGAATAATATATATATATATACATAATAAATATATATATATATATACATATATATATATATATATTTATGAATAATATATATATATATATATATATATATATGAATAAAATGACTATAGGAAAACTAGTAATTGTCTTCTCTACTGGTTAAATAGGGAATTTTGATATATATATATATATATATATATATATATATATATATATATATATATATATATATATATATATATATATATATATATATATTATTTTGTTTCGCATTCTAACCCTGAGACCCGGGTTCGAATCTCACCTTGGTAGATTTGACTGATGTTATCGGACTGGAGGGGTCAGTCTCAACGTGCGGTACCTTTGAAAAGTGCCTGAAAACCATACCCAAGCCTTGTGAGGGAAATTTGGTGGACAATGCCGTCGATAGCTGTGCTAACACGAGGGTTTGAATGTTTGATCACGCCAGATAACACGCTCTTTCCCATAAACTGTAAATAATATCTGTTCAGCATTGTTGCAGTATAAATAGATCTGTGGGTGTTGAACAAACCCAAAATGTTCCTGAGCAAGCGTCTGCAGTAGAGATTGGCTAGTCACTCTAGTAGACAGGTATTACCCCCCCGCACTTTTAGTGCTAATTTGCATTCATTCAAGAACATTTTCAATGATATTTTGACACCCTTCAAGGTATTAGCAAACCTGTTTCTTATTCAGTGGAATTCTTTGATTCCTGAAATGTTTCGAGTTAGCTGTTATGAACGGCATTCTTCCCATGGTAATGGCAAATTTAACCATTTTCTTATAAAAAAAAACGTCATTGAACAAATAGTCAGCGCTACCGTCGGCTGAAATTTATAATTTGTTTTTTTTTTGTTTTCTTCAGGAAAATAAATTTCTCAACTTCATTTCTATCAAACTTTTAATTGTAATGACAGATGTTTCTTTCCTAAAACGATTTGTTCGTTTATATTTCCGAGATGAGTTATTGTAACTATTTACCCTATTTACATTGTTCGGACTATATTGTCATATTTACGACGTTTCATTCGTTATACGCCCTGGCCTTCTTCAAATGATAGACCTTGGAATGTCGAACCGTACCCTTTATTTCGTCCACCGGAGTAGAATGATTTAGTTCTGCGTGTCACACCATTTCTGGATGTAACAGAATCAGTTATCTCCCTTTAGTAACTCAAATCTCCATATTTCTGTTCACCTCTGCTGTGGCCAGGTATTGAATCCACATTGGGTAAATTCACTGAATTACTTCAACGAACGCTTTTATTAAATGGGTCATTGGTTCTTTGGGGGGTCATCGCTATCCATGTAAGGCATGGCTCGTGGAACTAGAACAATCTACTTGGTGGACGAAATAAGAGTTCGTTTTGAAATTCCAATGTATATAACCTGACGAAAGCCGGGCGTTCAACGACAGAAACGTCGTTAATATGACAATAAAGAATAGGAAAATAGACTGAAAAATGTGAAGATTGTAAATAAAACTGGTTAAGGTAGTGGGAAATATCAAAATCTTGATTATATCATTATTTTTTCTTCGAGTTTTACGGGCGATTCATCTTAATTGCTGTTGCGAATTACACCGGGTTGAATGGGAAATATATGTATTTGAAAATGTCCGGATATTTGTTGTCGCTTATGTTTGGACAGTTGTGTTTAAATTCCCAATTAAATTTGCATAGCCTCGTTCTGAATGTTGTCATTTTTTTTCTTGTCGCATGTTTTGGAGTATTTTTTAATGGATTTTATGGTTTATTTCTTTTTATATTGTAAATATATTTTTTAATTATTTACAAAGAAAAATCTTGATTTACTGGAATGTGAAAAAAAAATTTTTTAGAAAGCTTTTTATTACACTTGACTATTCAAAAACAGAGAGATCAAATAGACACATGTGATTTTAAATAAATAAAATTATAACTCCTTTTTTATAACATGCCACCTTTTGAGTTAAGACAATAAATGGAAAAATAAAATTGATACAGAAACTGCTTATACATTTTAATATGATTTTAAATTTACTTAAGTCCTACATAATACATAATCAAAATTATAGTTATTGTAATTATAAGTACACCTTTGTGCAAATTAATTGAAACAACTAGTTTAAGGTGTAATTAGTTTCCTTTCTTTAACCATATGGTCAATTTTAGACCCACGGGAGTGACAGCGTGTAATCGATTTCTATTTTTTCCTACGATTAAGTTATTTGTAGTGGTGTGTAGTAATATGAATCTATTTTGGGGGTGTATGATGAAATTTGTTTGGCCTTGAAAAATATCATCCGTGATTACATCAGATTTTATCACGCCCCGACTGTCGATTTCTTGCCCTACGGCCATTGTCTATGAGGGACGTTACATCAAGGAGGCGTACGAAAATTATAAAGCTGCAAGAACACACTGTCAAGCCTTACCAGTGAGCAAGTACTATAGACTGGCCCGGAAACTCTCCTGATTTAAATCTAATCGATAATCTGTGGTCAATCTGCAAGGAACGACATCGTGGAATAAACATACGAGGTACTAACATGTGCACTGGGCCATGTTTCATTGGAAAAATACGAAAAAAAATGTTAACGGAATTATTCGTTTTGTTTGAATTAATTTGCACAAGGGTGCAAAATTTGATTTGTTTATATAACGGCCTATCAACTCCTCATGATTCATTTAATGCCGTAATTTAATGCCTTAATTTAATGTTCTTGTGAAATTTGAAAAAGAAATATATGATCTATGTTATTCTGATTTCACAATTCAATATATGGTAGATTATACTCAGCTTTTGTGCATTTATATGTTTCTGAGGACAAAATTACATGAGGTGATGGTATGTGTGTTTTATGTTGTACTTTTGATGAAGTTATATTTTGGAATAAAGTTTGATTTATTTAAGAAATTGTAGGATATTATATGGATTAATGGATTAGGATATATGGATTAATGTCACGAAAGAGTTCTTTTATGTTGGTTGTTTGGTTGATTTTGTATAGCGGTAAATCAACACCTCTATGGGGTTTTTTTTAAATGCCAAAATTTCAATATTTTGAACACAATGTTATGGCTTCAAATAAATATACAGTGAGGTGAAACAAGTATTTGGACAGTAAAAAATGGATTTAGAATCATATATTAAAAGAAAAACATTGTCTAAAGATCACAATGTATTCGTAAAACAATTATAAATGCAAAGTGAAAAAAGTATTTGAACAGAATATAAATTATGCTTTAAATATGTTTAATTGTTAGTTGGTCCTCCTTTATTTGCAACCACAGCTCTCAGTCTGTTCTTGTAGCTCTCTCCAATTTCCTGGCATGATGTGGTGGACATTTTAGCCCACTCTTCTTCTGCAAAAAAGTATCAATTCACTGAGGTTCTTTGGTCGCCTTTCACGATTCTGATTCTTCAGTGTTCTCCAAAGATTCTCTATTGGATTCATGTCCGGCGATTGGCTGGGCCATGTCAACACGTTGATGTTATTATTTTAAAGCCATGCACGTGTTGCTTTGGCTGTATTCATTACATCTACGTAGTGTGTATGTGCGTATGTTTTAATAGATAAAGGTTTGCCATGGGAAATCGAAAAATCTAGTTTGAATTTCTGTAGAGTTCATTACATCTACGTAGTCGCAAATACCCTTGGAAAAAGGTACGAATCCATCTGTTCTCGTAGATATGGGTTAAATTGCAGGACATGCTGGCTTCCATAGTGTTGATTGTCAGCGAATCTGTTTCAACATTAACGGCAACGTACAGCTGGGTTTCTTCAACCAACTCAATCGTGAATCGAAAAGAGACACGATCGACCAAGCGCGTATCACGCACGGCAACTAAGGAAGGCTGGAAAGGCCATAATCAATCGATATAAAACAAGTGAATTTTTTCCTACAAATTACTTTATTTAATCCTTTAAATTCACATATCCGTTGGAACTTTTCGCCTTCTCCTTGGTACAAGAAAATAAACCGTTTTGTATTTGCCATGTTTCCGGATCTTACTGGCGTAAGTTTAAGCTGACGCCTACTTTTATTCTATATATTTTTACATATTGCTTAAAGGTCGTATCTTCTTGATATCAGATGACGCCTAAGGAAAGAAGCAGAAGAAAGATAAGCGTATTTTACGCATTTCCGATTTATAAAATTATATTTTGGAGACAGTTTAGAGTTATTTACACCATTTAAATTGTTCGGGCTGTTCTTCTCCTCTTTGTTGACATATTCACGA